AAGTCACTTTTAGATGTACATTTCTGTGACATTGTATTACAGTTGAACTGTGGAAGAGTTTTGTAAATTAGTTGTGGGTATAAAGCAGTAATAATGAATATTTAGCTACCAATTTTGAATAAATTAATTTTCCTTACATTGACACTTTTGGCATTGTTAGCAATTAAATGAGTGTCTTGTATTTAATGTTTACCCTGTCTCTTTCTAAACTTGTTTTCTCTCTGATTTCAGATAATACATACATTATTACATCTGTTCTTCCAAAAGGCAGATAACTTGTCTTAATTTTACACATATCAATGTGAATGGAAGGCAACTTAAAGAAATCACTTCTGCTTACCACTGTTTTGGTCAGCTTTTACAGGTGTAGGTGCTTCTTTTTTTTTTTTTTCTCTAGAAAACTTTAGCTTACAAGTAAGACTCAGAATTTTTATGAGACTTGGGAGGAAGAGCCCAATGACTTATGAGAGAGAATATATCTGGGGAGAAAACAAACAAGTTAGAAAAGTACAGCATAGAATTTCACTTTAGAAGTTGACTTGATCCTTGTGTGTCCTTCCCAACTCAGAATATTCTGTGATTTAGAAAGTATCAAGAGTGTGGGGTATATGTCTAGATCTGGAAGCCTAGTTCCATACTTTTTAGGATATGAGCTAATCTGCCATTCTTTAGCATTCTAGAATTCATCTGCTGGGGACATGTTTAGAGCATATTTAGAAATATGTGGTTTGTTGGTAAGCACATGACACATACCAGCAGTATAGCTTGGTACAGTGCCGATCTCTGTTCCCCAGAAATATTTTGGATGGAATTTCATGTTGAGAGTATAGCAGAAAGAGAACTCTACTGCCTTTCTCTGCTGTTTGGGTTTTTTATTTTCATTTCAAGCTTTCAACCATATTGGAAGCTTTCTAAAAAAAACCCATCTGTGGGGATAATTACCTCAAATTGCAATATTTCATTGCAATTGTTTAGTGAAGAACTAGATAACTGCAAATGAACATGATGAACACATTAAAAAGGTATTGAACAATGTAAAAATGAAAGTGCATTTTCCTGCTGGTTCATAATACCTTAACTTATAGTCTAATAAGTGGGGGTATGAGGAGGACGTTATAATTAAATCATTAACAAAAATACACTGGCTACTTTGGAAAAGCTTAAATGTTCTAAAGAACTGAAGGAACAAGTAAAGAAATTTTGGTCCTACTTCTCAGAAGGACCAGGAGTCCATAAAGAGTTTTTATTGTTCTATGGGGACGAGGTTGTCAAAGATACTCATGGGGGACCTAGACATCCAGGTTATTTGAAAATTGTGCTCTGTCTCTTCCTCTTGTCCTGATCCTAAGCAAACATACATTCAGGTTGGAATTCGAAGGATGGAAGCTCCTGTGAGAGCTTAAGACACATATGAATTAAATTATTGAGTAATAATGATTCCAGCACTGAAAACTGACATAGATAATAGCATGCAATGAGGGGAAAACTAAAACTTTCACCATAACTTGTTCATGAGGTGCTATCAGTAAAAGAAAACAAAACTGATTTGGTGTGTGTTTTTGCTTTGCACATTTTTAGAAATTCCAGAAAATACCTTTTATTTCTCAGAAATATGTGGAGGAGTTGAAATCTATTGACCAGTATGAAGATCAAACCTACAGTAAATGGAATGTTCAGGTGGATTAAACTTGTCAGTTTAACTCAAACCAAACTAATTAGGTACAATCCTCAAAACCGACTCCTGATGGTGAATTTTGATCCTGAGGTGTGTACTCAAAACAGTAACTAAACGTGTTTCTGATGTTTGTCTTTGATTTCATAGTCAAAAAATGACAATAATCTTCTAGGGCATGAATGAATCTTAGCATCTTAAGCCTTGCATATTTTTATAGAATCATGTAAAAATTCAGGTTGGAAAAGACCCCTAACATCATCAAATACAGCCTTAAATCCAGCACTTCCAAGTCCAACATTAAACCACATCCCTAAATGCCACATCTATGTGCCTTTTAAATATTCCAGGGATGGTGATCTACCACTTCCCTGGACAGTGTGTTCTGATACTTCACAGCCCTCTCTCAGTGAAGAAATTTCCTAATATCCAATCTAAACCTCCCCTAGCACAACCTGAGGCCACTTTCTCTTGTTCTGTCACTTGTCACCTGGAAGAGAAGACTGACCTCCTCCTTTCAGGCACTGCAGAGATCATAAGGTCTCCTGAGCCTCCTTTTCTCCAGGCTGCACAAGCCCAGCTCCCTCAGCTGCTCCTCATCAGGCTTGTTGTCTTTTTTTTCCAGTCAGGAAATCTAGTTGCCCTCTACCTGCTCAGGGAAGAGTTCTTTCCTCAAACAGTGAAGAAGGCCATTACTGTAGCAAATGGTTTTCCCAGAGACACGTGCAGGAATGTGATGGTAACAGTTAGCTCTTACCCTCTAAAATGCAATTGTTCTTTTAACTTTTCAAACTTCAAAAAGCCCTTAAATCCTTACTCCTAGATTGCTGAATGTTTAATTAAATTGTGTCTCCTGTATACTTCCTCGTACTTCAGTCATTAAAATGGTATTTTAATGCCTTTGTATCTGAGGTTAAATGAAAAGTAAACAAAACATCTTTTTATTGAAGCTTCTGAAAGGATAAATGTAAGATGAACTCTTTCTTCCATCCCTTTAGAGAGAGGCTATTCCTCTATTGAGAGAGGTGAAATATTTGCTGATGTTGAACCAACCCAACATTCCAGATTCTGCTTTAGGTATATGTTAGAAAAGGAGTAATTATACAAATCTTCCTGATTGTGGGATATGGGAGGTGTGTGTATCTTTTCTTTTGTTCTTTAAAGACTTGTTTTATATAATTGATGGAAAATCAGTTAAAAAAAAAAAGATGTTGTCTTTTGTTGTAATGGGGCCCATGGTCTCTTTTTGCATTTTTCTTAATTATGACCAAATTGTGTTCACTTTCATCAACCTCCTCCCAGACCCATATAGAAACTCCAGTGACTGTGTTATACTTTGCCTACCATATCACAGGTAACAGCAGTTTGGGACTGTTCAAATACAGATTCAAAAGGTAGAATTTGATGGCTGTCAGGTGGTGCTGTCTTACAGACATCCTCAGCCACCTTTTTCCCTATATATTCTGCCACACACCCATCCCAGTTACAATTTTTGTGAGTGGCAAATGTAATTTGGTGGAATTCCCTGAACTGGGAAAATCTGGTTAGAAGAACAGATAGAAAAGCACAGCAGCTGTAGGGTTTCCTACTGACACTATAAGAACTGATTAAACCATTGTTTTAAGAGCAGCATCTGCATATAAGAAATTTTGCTTGGTCTGTTTCAGGATATGCACTGAACTGTAAATTCTGTCAAACAGAGTTAGGTGAAAGTTAAACCAATGTTTTTAATCAAACAATTAGAACTTCTCTCCAGTATCAGTGAGTTTTCCAGTGCATGGGGAAATTTCTATTTCTGTGCCCATCTGGTCTAGTGTTTTTAGTAGGATTTTTGGTGTGTACCTTTAGCTGGTTTTCTAGTTACTCTGAAGTGACTCACATTTAGGCCTCCCTTTCTTGTACTTTTGATACAGACATAAACTCCCCATCAAGGTATCTTTTCCATCCTGATGGAGTTTTTTTTCACATTGTTTACTGGATGTTTTTTTCTTGGGGAGATTTGTGGAATGAGAAAGCCATTTCCATGTCATCTTTACATATTTGAAAGTGTGTTAAAGCAGCAGATGTAGAATTGTTTTACTTTGTGGAAGATTCCCGGCTTAATTAAAATTAAATTTTATGTGATTATACATAAAATAACTTGAGTTTATTAAGTTCAACTAATTTGTAATTACCAATGATCCATAAAAAATAATTATTTTCATGTCTACTAGACAAAAATTCTAGTAGAAACTATGACATAGAGTACAGTTTGAGTTCAATAATTCATTCATATGATTTTTTATTTGTAAGTAGATGCTGGAGTATTCTCACTGTTAATAAACAGATTTTACTGATATAGTTCTACCACATGTGATATTTTTTGTTTAAAGAAAGTAAGTAGGAACTCTGCTATTCCTCTGTTAAATAGGAACTGTCCAAAGAATGGAATGTCATTGAGAATACAGCTCTGTCAGTATGGCACAAAGTAATTCCTCTTCAGGCATCTGACACAGTAGTTAATCTGAAGAAAATGCACTTTCTTGATGTATGTTGAATTCTGGAATCAGTCCTTTTTATTTCTGGTTTTCTTAATAAGAACAAAGTTAGTGACAAGTGACATTACCTGTTCTTCACATCTAAGCAGATGGAATTCAGAGAAAGATTCAAAATGGAAGGTCCCTTTCATTTTGATGTAGAAAATCCATATGATCATCTCAATAAGGCTATGAGTGTTCTCAGATAAAACATATTTGCTTGTAATGTTTCAGTACAAAAGCTAATGATATTTCTATGTTCACATTAAATATTTGTGAATTGGGTCTTCTAGGTTTTTGTTAGTTTTTTTTTCCACTGGGATTTTTTTGGAGGGTTTTTTGTTTTACTGCTGTTTTGGGGCGGTTTGTTGTTTTTTGGTTTGATGATTTTATTTTATTTTTTTTTCAAGATGCTGGTGTAATTCTAGTGCCACCAAAATCAGGTTTCTTGTTTCTCTTCCAGTGTTGCAAGTGCCTATGAAAAAAAAAATTAAAAAATTCAGAATACTTTCATGTTCCTTTACACAGTCATCATAATGTGCTCTTGAGTAGAGTAGCTTAAAGTAGGCTATTAAGTGTTTCTTTCTTAAAACATCATGGGGGGACTTTGTTAAAATTTATACAGCTTTAAGAAGAAGTGGTTTAATAAGTTAAAGAATACAGGAATATAAATTAATTTCTTTCTATGCAGCTTCTCTTTTGTGGTTTCAATACAGAGCCCTTTGTATGCTTTTGGGTGCTTTCAGAGGCAATGCAAATGCAGGTTTGTAGCCTCCTTGCCACAATTCTCTCAGCTTTTCTTACCTTGAATCATGTATGCAGGATCTACAGATTACACTGACAGGTTAAGTAAGCTCAATATATCCTACAGCTGTACTTGGAGTGTTCCTTCCCTTCCCTCTTCCAGGCAAATCAAGAGCTTGAGATGCTGGAAAAAGAAATGCTTCTAATACAGGAATCTATCTACAGAACTATTTGAAGTATCTATTCCAGGCTACAAGCACATGAAACAATGTTGGAAGAAGTGCAGCTGCTCAAGAAAGTGTGGGATACTCATGTTTACATTAATATAAGATTTTTCTTAAAATTAACTATAAATTTGGAATATATTTGAATGTTTTATTTTTAATTTGATCCTAGAAGTGCTATATATTTTTTAAAAAATTAAATACTGAAGATGTTACTATTCCTTTTGTTTTTGAAATAATAGTTGCTATGTTTTAGGATAGCCAGAGTAAAAATATCTCTGTTCCCAAGTCAACCAATTTCAAGATAATCCCAAAGCAAAACAAACTTTGTAGTTTAATTTAGAGCTTTCTTAATACCCAGAACTTGCTTGATTAATTAAAATGACTGAGTAAAAATTCAGAACTCCATAAATCTAATTCAGAACTCAGGATTGTACATTTAAAAGCTCTACAAATCTAGAAACAAGTGTCCAGAAAAGTCAGTGTACAGACCTGTGTTGGGAATCAGTTTTGCAAAGTTCCATTTCCCTCAAGATGCTGCCTTTCGCAGGCAAGGTTAAAAATACATGTGCTAGATCTTCTTTCTGTAATTTTGTTTGTAGCTCCCCCACGAGGAGTTGCAGGGCATCTTCCCAAAATCTCCCAGGAGTTACGTGTGGATATAGACGTGTGTTTAATAGCAAAAGTAAGTTGTGCATGCGTGTTTTTATCAGATACTGAAACAGAAAACTGTTAAAATGCTTGGCCTTTGAGTTGAGTTTAGAGAAGACACATTATCATGCATGCTTTCTAAGTAACGGTGGTGTAGGAAAAAATTAAGGCCCGTGAGCTATGGCTGTAGGATAGGCTTTCGCCTGCATCCATTTATCTGTTTTGTAGCAGAAGGTTGTCTTTACCAAATGTTGTTGATGCTTTTATCTGTACTTTCTGTTTCAGAGCAGCATTGATGATTGGACTAAAACCCAGTGGAGAGAGATTAATGTGGAACAGATGGATGAGCAGCTCAGAAGGTTTGCCAAGGCAGGTTCCACAGCCGTCTATTTCTGCAATTTATCTGTCTCAGTGCCACCCCTTCCTCACTCTTCCCACCCATTTGGATGCTTTGGTGGGTTTATTACTCATGTCCAAGCTGAATGTTCTGGAACATGCTTTGTTTTGGGGACTTTCCTTTAAAACTTTATTTTTCTGAATGCGTTTCCAGCCCCTGTAGAGTTATATGTAAAATCATGATTCTCTGAGTTGAGGCAGTGTGGGAAATAAAAAAAAAGAGGGTGGGGGTTTAGGACAGACCTCTCCAGACAGCAATGTCTTTTACAGGTGGAATTTGCAGAGGTTCATCTGCTCTGCTCACAGATGTAGCTCCAGAGAGTTGGGAGCTGCAGGGATGGTGCTCATTTCTAAAGGGTGGGCACTTCTTTTGCCTGAAGTATTTCAATGTTTTGTTGACAGTAGCCCTACAGAAGAAAATTCCAATGGGAAGAGAGAAGTATGAAGTAAAAATAACAACAAAGTTTCACTCCCCAGGCTATTTTCAGGACACTACAGCTGTGCTTCACAGACAGTAGAGTGGTTGAATAGGAAGTCTTGAACTTAACAGATATAAAGTTTTTTTCTTGTTTACACATTTGTTTCATTCAGAAACAAATTATTGAATGCCCATTTGTTAGTCTTCTAAAAGAAAAATCAGACTTCATCATAGATGTCTTCTCCTAAATTGCTTCAAAATTGTTAACTCTACCTACCCAGCTCTGATACTTTTTTTATCAAAAAAATTCCTGTGGTTTTGGTACATAGGCTGTAACATGGAGCAGTTGTTGGTTTTAAAAATTTGAATAAAACTATTTTAAACCATTTTGAAAAAAAAAAAAAGTCGAAGACAAATTTCCATATTTTTTTTCCATTTTTAAAATGAAAAAACTGTGAAGCTGAAAGTGTAGAAGAGAGCGTAACAGAATTTTTCTGTTTTTCTTCAATATACCAATGATTTATACCACACAGTTTTAATAAAAGCACATTCAAACTTATTTTTAATGCAGGAAGCTCCTAAACAGGATTAGCAAAAAATTGTGATATTTTTTTAACAAAATGAAAAAATAATCAACTGTCATTTTTTTCAAATCATAGATAAAAATTTTAAAGGTTTTTTTTTTAAATTGAATTTAATTAATCTTAACAAGTAGCAACAAAATACTGCAAATATCCCCATCACTCCCCAAGGTTTCCAGTTTTCAAATACCAAGTATCTTACATCAGTTTCAATGGCAGCTGTGCAAGTAAACTTACCTTCAGTGTTAAAAAGTACAAAACATCAGAGTAAAAGAAAAAATGGAAAAAAACCACCAGAAAACCAAACCTATAACAACATCAAGAAGTATTTCTGCTAGCTGATTAATTCCACACTTTGGTGGAAGATCTGAAAGTATATCTGGCATCTAGAGTAAATATAACTTATTTAATTGTGTTTTTTACTTAGATTCCATTTGAATACTTTGTTATGTACTTATGTCAGACTTTTTCATTGATTTAATTTGCTTCCTGCTGTGTCTTTTCTCTACAGGTCAGGCTTTTAATAGCAGAAGACCTTCTCAGGCCTTCTGGGACTCCAGTTTTGTAAAGGGAGAAGATGAAGTCCAAAGTGTAGCTGTCGATGCTGTGCATGACTTGAGTACTGAGAAGGTGAGAGGTGTATTTTTATTTTTCTTCTGGTTTTGCAGAATAGTATGTAACAAACTGTTTGTTTAGGTCTTGTTGCAAGAAATTAATCATAGAACTGAATATTTTCATGAGACTTTCCTAGGTATCAAAATTCACAGCCTAGCAAAATGAACTTCTTTTCTGTGGTGTAGTTTACCATCACTGTGAATTATATGTAATTTAATTAAATTCCTCAATTCCAAATATGAAATGTGATATACATATATATAGACAGACATTATTTTTACTCTTATTATTTCCAGATTTTGGAAGAAATCTGCCAAACATGGACTGCCATGGAATTTTCTTACCAAGAGCATAAAAAATAGAAAATCCTCTATTAAAGTTTAATGAACAGCTGCTTGAAACTTTAGGTAACAATCAAATAAGAATTTAATTATTATAAATATTGTTATTGTATCAGTATTATTCACTCCCTTGATGTAACTGGCGAGTTAAAACTTTTTTTCCTGAATCTTGATTGCAGATTTATATTTTCTCCAGATGTTAATACTGGAAATTTACATGTACACTGTGTAACTATTTTACATTCCTGTCTCCTTGTAGGAGTTAAAAAAAATAACAGCTTTCTAAGTTTTTAATTCCTTCAATTAAAAAAAAAATCCTTTAATAATATGCTGTCCATTTTCAGTGTTTAAAGATGTCTTCTCTTATGATATACAAGAACAACAATTACAGGAGAATTTGTTTAGGCTCTTTTTAGCTTTAGTTCCTCTGTTTGATAAACTATTTTGATTAGTGCAGTTTTTTCTGGCTTTTTTTTTGTTTTGTTTGTTTTTCTAGTTTCAGATGCAAGTGATTCTGAAAAGTAAATATGTGGAACATTTCATTGAACAAGTGAAAGGCTGGAAAAGTAAATAAAACATGGCAGATTCTGACATTTCTATTTGGATGGAATTTCAACACATGTGGTATCTTCATCAAAGTAATTATCTGCCTTGTTTTCCTTTTACATGGACCTGTAGTGAGTTGCTGGTGTCACAATTTGAGACAAAGATCTGCAGGTCATTCTTTCACATGTCTTTAATATCTTCTTGTATTTAATCTTTGTTAGCTTTTTAACCTCCTGGAGGCACATAGAGATACAATACTGCTGAGGTAAGGAAATCTTTTCATCAAACTCCGTATCATTTAGGAAAGTGGTGGTTGAAATACAAGTTTCTGGTCTGTTATTTATTAATGTCTAAAGGTAACTATAACAATCAACATAAACACTTGAACTGACACAAAGAATTATGCCTTAATTGCTCACTCTGACCAAAAAAAGTCACTGACCCCTTGCATAGTAAAGATGATAATTTTGTGTTGCCAATACACCTGTAATTCAATCCACAGATGCCAGGGAAAGTTCTCATCATGTGCAATTCTGAAAAGCTAATATAGGATAATGCTCTACAGGGAGCTTTGAAATTTAAAATATATTTCTAACTGTTTAAATCTGCAATTTAGAAATATTGACAGCAACATGTCTCACTGTATGCCAAAAAAAGTGTATTTTTTGTACAACTTGTGAACCCTGCTAAGAGCAATGAAATGATTTGTGGTGTTTAACATGCATAAGTTTCTTCATGGTGCATATTGGAAAAGGCATTGAGCTTGCATGAGCAGAAATACTCTAATCATTCTGCTAAAATCTGCCATTTTTCTCTTCAAGAGTTTTTTTGGTATCATCAGTGATATTTGCAGTTCTCTCCATTAATATTACTTTTTCTTCATATTCAGTCTTAACACTGTCAAAATAGGTGTTTGTGGCTTTAATTTTTTTTTTCTCATCTAAGAAATAGAACTTAAAACAAATTGATTAAGCATATTCTTTATTCCCATGTATTCTTTTTCCCCATGTTTTTCCTGTCCCCATGTTTTTCAGTGTAGTAAACCATATGAAGTAGAAAAAATAAATTTGAGAGTTGAAGTAGCTCCCTTTCTTTCTGTACAGCATTTGGTGACTGACATAACAAATAAAGAAAATGTGATGGAAGCTATAAGAAAACCGAAAGTGTATGAAAGCTTTGAAGCTCTGCAGCAGAGGTAAAATTTCCAGTATGATTACAAACTGTTCTAAAATGTAATTCTGCAGCAAGCAGGAAATGAAAGCTGTCAGATTGTTTCCTTTTTGTACAGGTGTGAGATGTTCTGATGATATTTTTGTCATTTGTTTCTATTTGACATACTGGATTTCTACTGCTTTTTACATGACCAGTTCAACTTGAGGCATTGGTTCATTATTTAGGGATGGCATGATGTCAAAATTTAAAAAAGTCTTAAAAATATGTTCTGTTTGGATCAAATTCACTTTCTCCCTATCCACACTCTGGGAGCTGGGAGTCCTTCTTTCACTCTTGCAACAGGAGGTAGTGGATTTGTGCAACCAAAGTCCTAACACACACTTGAAGGAATGTTTTGAACTTCCCACCTTTAGAAGAGGGAAGCTTTCCCTTAAGAAGTAACCGTGTTTAGAGTCACAGTCCATTTCTTCTTTCAGGAAAATGTTGCAATAGGAAGTGAAAAACAACCCAACACAAACCCGTTTCTTGAGATGTCACTTTTGTTCTGAGAGATACAAAGCTAATAGCTGGAGTGCATCAGTCAAGCATAAATAAATATGGCTTCGTTTTCTTTCCTGATAGGCATATAATTGAATATTTTGAATCTGAATACTTTTTTTGTCAATACTAACATGTGTTTTCATATTTTTAACTCTTCATACATCAAAAATATGTGTGTCTTTTGTAAAAGTGTTTTCTTTGCTCACCCACTGAACTAATTCTTATCTGTTTTTTCATTTGTTGCTTTGGTGGTTTTCTTTTTAAATTTAACTGCACATAACTGCCCTGTTGAGTTAGAAAGCTTTTTTCTCATCCCTTATTTCCTAAGGCTGGATTCTTCGGAAGGTTGAAGAGGTGTTTCCCCCGGCCAGACTTACCTTTTGGGAGACTTTTCTGGCACAATTCCATTCCCTTGGCTTCCTTGGTCTGAATGAAATTGTTCCCTTTTGTTTTCTGGAAAGGAAATGTGAAAGGCTTGTCACCATCTCTGATCCTTACAGCTGCGTTCATAGTTATCATTTTAAATCAATAGTGGATTCTATTGTTCTGTTTTAATGTTTGGTCTGATTTTTACCTTAACTGAGAGGGAATTCCAGGCTTTAAGATTATTTAAGGCATGTGTCATTAAAATCTGTCTCTCTTTGTGAAAAAGCTTTGTCAGTATACTTAGAAAGCAAGGGCATAATTTTTCCTCTCTTCTATCTTGTTTTTTCAGCAGACTTGCTAGGCATCCTTTGAAGAGGAACACAGCCAGATCAGCTGAGCCTCTTTGTGTATTAATGTACTTAATTTTCTCTACAGAAAAGGAAGTTTTACAGCTAACCTTGTGAGCTGATAATATCATTGAACTGCACCTTTGTTCTGAGCAAATTTCTAATTTACTTTGAAAATAGAAACATTTTGCCTAAGGAAGGTAGTAAATACTTTTTCCCTCCAGCTAAGACAAGTACAAGATGTTCAGCAAGAAGAGATGAGAGACATTACAAATCCCAATCTGTCTTTGCTGGAAATTTAGCCACGTGGAAGTTGCATTTGTTTGGATTTTTGGGTTGTAGGTTTGCAGGAGTTAGAAATGGAAAAGGTCAATGAGATCATCAAGTCTATTCTTCTTCTTCTAGCAAGGATTGATCAAATTTCAGGCAAGCAATGCGTAGTGATGATAAGTAAGACTGAACGATCTATGGTGTCTGGTAGCTGTTACTGACTGAGCTGCTGACCCTTGCACAAGGCATGTTTTTGTAGCTATCCTTCTGTGTTCCTCTCTTGAACAATGACCTGCTAGGTTTTGTGACACCAATCTGTGTAAAAGCACAGGCACTTTGATGTATTTCAGAAGCTTCATACTGTGTTATCTACATGCCAGATGATACTCCTGGCCTTGGTTGCTATCCAGCCACAGCCATCAATTCTCTGAGTGCGCAGGTTTTTAGTGTGCCTCAGGCAAAACCTTTTTTTTGGAGGACTGTGAGTTGTAACAGAAGAATTGATATTTTCAGAGATGACGAAGGCTTGAACATGGAGCCTTTTCAAACACTATGGTAGGCCCTCATAGATTCTTCACCTAATTAAATCTCAGGGATTTGTTTCATCCACACATAAGGCAAGCAAACAAGTCTTCTGTTTTAGGTGTCAGGCAAAAGAGCATGCTGGTGTGTAGACAGTGATTTTCAAATTCCATGGTCTTTGGAGAGATGTGTGGCTACAAAAGGCATTTAGACCTTAATAGGCAATTTGTAAAATAAGCATTAGCCATAAATAATAACAATCTCAAGACTCCTCAGTTTTATATTGAGCATTGTCCTTTAGACTCTTCTGACAACTGACAGAAGTGTAATTAACTCCATTCACTGATTTATCATTTTGGCCCAGCTTTTCCCCATAAAAACCTTGTGTGTAGTAATCATGCAACAGTCAGAGATTCATCAGCTTTAACAGAGGCGTGATTAGCGTGATTGACACAAATCTTATGTAAATGGTTTCCTTATACATCTGGTATTTTTGGATGCAAATAGCCTGTCATCTTACCAAACTTTTTGACAATGTTGCCGATCTTACACTTTAAGAGAATACAGAGGAGTATATAAATGTTGCCCATGGGATATACAGCACAGAAAAGAAGCATATTCTGTTCCATGACAAATGCAGACCTAATGATCAGATATGTTGTGTGAAGTCTCCTTGAATTTTGCCCTATTTGGGATGTAGATTAAATAGATACTTTCAATTGTGTGAAATGCTACTTTTAATTATATAAATTTGGAAAAATTAAGAAATAATAATAAACCCAGAACACTTTGTTACCCAATACTGTGTAATTTACTAATAATTTAATACATTTTCTGTCCTCCTCTTGTACATAAAATGTTTTTTAGAAGTGTAGAGAGTACTGTTTGGAAGTAATGAAAATGGAAAAAC